CTGAGCCAAACCGGTCAGGGCAGGGAGAGCTTTTGATAGTATTTGAGAAGGGGGGAATCCCATCCGGGCTTTAAGAGGACATCTCTCTTAATAGCACAGAGACCAGTTCCACAGCTCAGGGAAGAGGTGACGAGGGTCTGGAACCATAACAGTAAGAGGCCGAAAGTGGCATTGTGCTCCAGGTGAGGACTCATCTCGAGGCCACTGGTAAAAGGAGGTGGACAGAAATGGCCATAATGGATGCCAACGGGATCAACACCCTTGGCCGCGAGGAGCCCTGCAGGAGAAGCACGTGCCATGGCCTCTCGCTGAGGCCCCTCATCAATCGCTGGCTTCCTGGAGCTTCTTTGTTTGCCGTGAGAGGAGCTATGGTGGAGTTCAGTGTTTAGGAAAGAGGGAGCTAAACACAGGCATTAGCTTTTAGGAACATTTGCCAATAGCCCATTAGAACTGAGGCGTAGGGAGGTGGGGACTGCAAGTAAGCCCCCCGCCCCGCCCCGCCCCAGCTGGCCTTTGTGCTGCCATCCTGATTATGGAACACATTCTGCTTTCAATTTTTTCCTTACAAAGGTCTGCTTTTCATTTTTCCTCTTGTCTCAAAGTATGTATACAGCAAACATTATGCTTTTGGGATATAGATCTGCGCTCAATTAAAGGCTCCACTAATGCAGTCCATCTTGCTGAGTAGCAATCAACCTCACTTTGAGGTTGAGCTCAGTGGAAAAATGAAAATTAACTGTCCTTGACAGGAAGTTTCTATCCACGGTAAAGACTGTTCTCTCTGGGTTCAGCAGCTGGGTTTCAATATAATCAAATGGCAGTTTGAATAAATAACTCTTTGCACTTTGCTGCCTTGGGGGTCGAGGATCTGGGTACAGATGCAACAAGACTCACTGCATGACATCTCTACATTCACCCCAAAGAGCTGGCTTTGCCTGGTGTCCAAGAGGGAGAAAAGGGTTCGAGGGAGGGTTAGACCTGGTGGGTGTGTGAGGCCCACGGCAGGTTTTCAGGGCTCTGTGGCTACCTGGGCTGGGAAGTGGAGGTGGTGTCCTCACACACCGCTCTGGGGATTTCCCCCTAGCTTGGTGCACTCAGAGTCCAATCAAGGGTTCAGAAGAGTACCAGTGGCAGAATGGAGACCTACAAATCATCAGAGTGAGTCAGTAGACAGCGGCGGTGATGGAGGCAGATCCCCAGTTGGCTGGGATGCCTCGCTCAGCAATTATTGGGAGTGGAGGTAGGGGGTGAGAGAGAGTGCTGTCTGGCATTATATTGTTTTCTGTTTTGTTTTGTTTTTTGTTTTGTTTTGTGTTAAGGCCACCTGCTCAGATATGTGGTGTGGGAAAGAGACTAAGAAATGTGCCTCTGTTGAAGGAGAAAAGCTCAGGAGAAAAACAGACCCAGTCACTTACTTCCAGAATCTAGATGATGCCAGAGCCTTTGTTTCTGGTTGTTTAAGAAAAATCCTAGATGTGAGCAATCTCTTCACTTAAAAAAGAATGTTATCTAATTACAAAAATAATACATGATCAATGCAGAATGTGGAAAACATACCCCCTCGTGTGCGCACACACACAAAATCACCTGTGCTTCTAAACCCCCAGAGATAAAGATTATTTGCTGTTTGATATACTACCCTCCAGTTGTTTTCCTATGCATAGATTTGTATAGAGATTTGCCTGGGGGTATAACACTATATACAGTTTACACCCTTTGACATGGTGATATATTGTAAACATCTTGCTAAGTCAACTTATGAGCTTCAATAGCTCTGTGCTGTTCCGTTCTATAGGTAAATCTCAATTCTATCTCACCAAGCCCCTATTTTGGACTTTGTCTTCTCTCTCCCCCTCCCTCTCCCTCTCCCTCTCCCTCTCCCTCTCCCTCTCCCTCTCTCTCCCCATCTCCATCTCCATCTCTATCTCTATCACTATCCTGGAAGGGGTTTGGTGGGTATTATAAGAAACACACTATGAATGAACAACTTTGCTCTATTTCTTTGAGCACATCTCTGATTATATCCTTAGAAGAGATTTTTTAAAATGGCATTGCTGGGTCAGTGGGTATGAGCATTTTTAATACATGTAATACTCACTACTAAATTATCCTCTAGAAAGATTGCTCAAATGATTCCCATTTTTATCTTTTGCTATTTGCTAATTTCAAAAACAAAACACCACTAACAAAATGGTGCCTTGTTTCCATTCATTTATTTTGCACATGAGGTTGGACATTTTCTCACACATCGGACTCAGGCAGTGCATTTGTGAAGTTGTTGTCATATCCTGTTTTTGACCCATGTCTCTAACCTGGCCTACCTCTGGTTGGGCCAGATTGGCAGGGGCCAAGGAAGTGACTTCTTTCTTGCAAAGGCCAATTGCCTCAGTCAGAGACCTTCCCTTCCTCCCTCCTTCCTTAGCCTGGCCCAGCTTCCTTCCAGCCCCTCTGGGGATCCTCTGGGAAGCTTGCTTCAACCCCCCACCCTCTAAGAGCACTTTACGTGGGACAGTCTCCTTGGGCAGCACTCCCGTCATCCCACCTTTTCAGACCCCTTGGTGCTCTCCGATTCCCAGCCTACATACCTCAACACCTGCCTGAAAGCCCATTTTCCCCAGGTGTTTGCTCTCGCACAGAAGGGAGGCGGGACATGCGTGTACATAGCTGTACATGCCCTCTGCCAGCTTCCTGGCAGGAGAAACTAGCTGGTCCCTTGTTGCCAGGATTCTGCTATGAGCATCAAAGAAAGTCCACTAATAACCGGGTGGTTCTCCCCACCCTCGTGTCTGTGAGGCCCACTGATTTCTTTCTTGTTTCAAAATATATTTTTATTGATTTCAGAGAGGAAGGGAGAGTGAGAGAGTGATAGAAACATCAATGATGAGAGAGAATCACTGATTTGTGCCTCCTGTGTGCCCTCTACTGGGGATCGAGCCCACAACCCAGGCATGTGCCCTTGACCAGAATTGAACCTGGGACCCTTCAGTCCACAGGCCCATGCTCTATCCACTGAGCCAAACTGGCTAGGGCAGGCCCACTGATTTCTTGCACCTAATTATGGACTCCTGTGTGCCTATGGCCTGTATCCTGCAATCTGATTCTGATGCATGCGACACTGTTGTGGTCTCACATCATTTCATGGACGTGACCTTGTGGTGATATTCTCCTTGACCACACCTGTTCCTTGCAGGTGGATTTAATACACCAGGCATATTTCCAGCTTTTTACCTCAGTCGATTCACCTGATGTGAACTGACAGTCGATGGTTTTCTAGTTCTTGGGTGCTCTTATTATTTGCTGATGAAGCTGTTCAGTTTTGAGGCCCCTCAGAGAATACAGGCCTGGCCGGTGTTGTTTATAAGCTTAAACTGCTGCATGAACGGAAACAACCGAAGCTGTGGACCCTCAGTTTTCTCTTTTTGTTAAATAGAATGAATTACACTGGCAGCCCTTTCCTTAAAAGAGTTTTGTCAAGTCTAGTGATGTACTATTCAATAGGAAAGATTAAATGATACATGAGGGGGAATGAGGGGAAAGAGCAATAGGTAATGTACAGCAACACGTGATCCATGGTTGTCTCTGGGTAACGAGATTATGGGTAATGGAAACTTTAATTGCCTTCTTTTTTCTCTCTCTGTTTTGTAAACTTTCCGTGATGAAGATGTCATATATTCACTTGATAATGTAAATGTTTACCATGATTTTTATTGATGTTATTTCCTTAGTTCTCAGGAGTGACGGGCTCTTGCAAAGACTTCAGGTGGCCTTGGCCTTCTTAACTCTTGTTAGAAATCTCTCCCCACTCACGGTGCCCGAGGCTGGTGCCCAGTCTCACCTAGGTCACCTTCTGCATTTGGAGGTTCCGAGTCCAGGTTTCCTAGTTCTTCCGGGTAACATTCAGGGCATAAGGGGTCAGTCGAGGCTATGTTTTGGCTGCACCCCATACTAGCCATGGCCCACCCTGGAAGCAAGTCAAATCTCAGCCCTACTTGGTGCCTTGAGGCTGAATTAGTTCCTTTTTGGGGGGGAGAGAGGCTATGGCTGTCCCAGCATCCCAGTGAGAGGCCTTGTCTCAGGCTGAGGACTGTCTCAGCTGATGGATTTGCCTTCACTTCACTTCCTGATCTTCTCAGGGACAAACCAGCCCTAGAGATGCCTCTGTTTTTTGAGGGAGTTGGTCTGGTTGGGAGCAGAAAAGTAAGAGAGAGACCTGGGAAGCAAGCTCAGGGTGGTGGGGGCTGGCCACAGGCATGTGAGGGGTCAGGCTTTATGCGGAGGGGCAGCTGTAGATGTTGATAACCCTCAAAGCCAGACCTTGGCAGCAATTGGAGTTTTAAGAAAAACGGGGAGCTGCTTTTGGCCCCCACCGTTCAAGCCGCAGAGCAGCCGAACAGCGCCACGGTGTTGATGAGAGGGAAGAGATTTCTCAATTATGGTGTTTCAGCCGGGCTTTGCTATCAGAGGCTGCCCTGCCTGAGAATTTGCAATCACTTTGACAGTAGCCAGGATATTTTCCCTCCTGCTGACTATGGGGGAAAAAAGAAAAAAGGTTTTGCTAAGCAAATGAAAGATGTCAATGAGATTAAAGTGAGAATATTTAAATTACAGAAATTTAGTGCTTTCAAGCATAC